AACTCCCTTTTCAAATAGCAAAACACCCTTTTCAAATAGCAAAACTCCCTTTTCAAATAGCAAAACTCCCTTTTCAAATAGCAAAACTCCCTTTTCAAATAGCAAAACTCCCTTTTCAAATAGCAAAGCACCCTTTTCAAATAGCAAAACTCCCTTTTCAAATAGCAAAACTCCCTTTTCAAATAGCAAAACACCCTTTTTCAAATAGCAAAACTCCCTTTTCAAATAGCAAAACTCCCTTTTCAAATAGCAAAACTCCCTTTTCAAATAGTAAAACTCCCTTTTCAAATAGCAAAACTCCCTTTTCAAATAGCAAAACTCCCTTTTCAAATAGCAAAACTCCGTTTGCTACCTCGTAGTCTGAACATACTTTTCAGAAACCTGTACTTTATGAACCTTATTAGTTATTGTAAAGACTAAGTACACATTGAGTATTGAGTTTGTTCTAGCGCAAGTACGCGGCAACAACCATTGGCGTACCAGTCAGGTACGACTAGAAATCTTGAATGATCGCACCCTGACTACCAAATACCTAAAATATCCAAATTATTTTTGCCTTCAAAGGTTGGCGAGGAACCGCCATACAACGAGATACATGTCCGGCGGCGACGACGCTCTCGAAAGAAAAGATGACACGCAAAAAACCAGCTGCTGGAATTGGAGAATTCAGCACAAAAATGAATGTTTCTGAACAAAGCGCATATATCAATCTTTATCTCAGTAGTGCTTGTGACAGATCCCGAGGATTTAATTATAAACTATAGAACTACATGTCTAATTGGAAATTTAAGAATAAACTTACTAGTTGTAGAATATGTAAATAAAGGAAAAATTAATAAATAAATGTTGACTGTGTGCAAGGCCGAATTTTGGTGAAAATAGTGGGTGAGGTGGAAATGGAAAGTTAGGGCTTAGAACGAGCCAAAGTCAACGACGTGACGTTTGCTTGTAGTGTACATATGTATCAGTGTATTAATGAATTGTGACTGTAAAACTTATCCAATTTTGCCCTTCATTATAATTTCAGCAAAGTTTCTTTCAAAACATTGCATTAAAAGGGTACTTGACGCAGAGATGAATGGCTGTCACCGTTTCAATTTTACAGAAAAACTTCCTTCCGGAGTGTTGACCCTAAGCAACCATCAAATTTTCACTTTGATCTATCATTGAAACTTTCCCAAGGAGAGGTGCGTCACTTTTCAGGGGAGGTGCAAACCGATCTCAGGGGAGGTGCGCCGCTCCCCTCAAAATCCGGCCATGACTGTATGCCAATAAAGAAACACCAAAATTTATGATATAATTATATGGTTCTATGACTAATCAGTTCCAAATTGAACGAAGGTGGAATTGTCGTAATCGATTAATCGTCATCAACAATCGACTAATCGTACTGATTGAATCTAGGCACGTCCACACAGTGGTTAATGTCTCTTTTCAAGAACTGGCCACGTGTTAAAGATTTTATTCAGAGAAATTAGACCAGTCGCGTTTAGACCGCCGCTCTTTGCTGCTCTATACCCATTGAGCTATCGAATCAACAGGGATTGGTAGCGAGTCTTGTACAATTTTTAAAAGTGCACGAAATATTTTCGTGACGACTTACGCTTGTACGTGCAGTTTCAATTCTATTTCAGAACCATCCTCAGAGATACGAAAAAGTTTATCATTTGATAACATCGACAATACCATCTTGTGATTTCTTCAATCGGTTGTTTTATTGATTCCATTATCTTTAAGAATGAAAGATTGAAAAAAAAAAGACAAAAACCACACCATGCATCCATGATCCATTATTCCATTAACCATAAAGAACGAACTGTAAAATGGAATCGCGATTATTTATTGAAAATATGATAATGGTGAATGTAGCCTATATGTGTTTTCATAAAAGTGCGATGTAAACTGCGATCAAAAATTTGTTAGTTTTAATACATTAATTATCTGGTTGACACTGCTGTTATGTATACATTTGATGTTAAATGATCTGTCAATTCAAGAACACGGCAAACGATTTTCGATTTGTGCCTACTCTTGTTGAGAAAAAGGTTGATCCAGAATAGTGTCGTCTTAGTTTTAGACAGAGTAAGTAACAAAATATGACATTGGCAGATACTCTGTTAACCCATTAATGGCCCAACATTTCCCCATTGATAAGTAAAATCATTTTTGATTTTTTGATAAGTAAAATCATTTGGCAGTAAACAGAGTAAAACATCAAACCAATATAGTAATGAAGATTAGACTAGTACCCATTAGGTTGCTACGGGGTAATGAACATTAGTGACTAGCTTAATAGGTTGAACATGTGCCAAGCTTACAAAGTAGCTACGATCCTCGTTGCCAGGGCCTCTCAACCGCGAGCGACCTTCATAGGCCCTGGGATACACGGAACCGGAAGTGCAAGAAAACTTGCAGTGGTTTCTAAAGCGCATGCTCTTGAATTGACCATTTGCGTAATAGACTAAATTTTGAACTAAACAAGTCCAGACAAAAATTTCATCACAGCTTGAAGGAGCATCACAAAATTAGTAATATTCCAAAGTTTCGTTGCAAAATGTTGTAAAATGCGGAAAATATAGCCTTGCGAAATTTGCAATTTTCAGTCATTTTAGATTACAAACGGAAAATTGACAGCCCCAAACCC